ATTGACTTGAAAATTTTTATTCTGCCTCAGAGAATAGTTCCACTAGTAGCATTACTGGAGATTCTGGTCATAAAGAATAGAGAATGATAAAATGCAACACAAAGAATGTAAAGTTTCTTCTGTTACATATCATCCCGTCAAAGATGATAAATTTCTAAAATCAATAAAATGACAAATAATATCTAGTATCAGAAAATCATATCTAAAACCACTAAAGGATTGCTTTTGTATTGAACAGAGACAGCTACCAAAACATGATTCTAGGACTTCCCATAGCAATGAATTCTAAAACAAACCTTGGCAGTAGGAATTTTGTATTTGTCACAAATGCTCTTCATAAAGTTCTTTGAACCTTCTAAAGCAGCAGCCTCAGCTGAAGGGCCAAAAGTCGGTATTCCAAAATTTACCAAATCATTCGCAAGACCAGAAACAAGGGGAGCCTCTGGTCCCACAACAACCAACCCGACACCCCATTTTTGACAGAATGAAATCACAGCTGAGCTATCAGAAACATTAAGGTCAGGAATACAAGTGGCATCCCCTGAGTTGGAAATCCCTGCATTCCCTGGTGCACAGAACACACCATCACAAGAGGGTGATCGCTGCAATGCATAGCAAAGTGCATGCTCTCTTCCTCCTCCACCAATAACCAGCACAACCACCCTATCTTCTGCAGCAATTAAAATAACAATGTAAAATGGTTTATCTATTTCAACCCAGATTGCTCCATGTGGTATGATAGAAGACCCCTCACAATTGCACACAAAAATTCATAACCAACCAATTCCGCAAGAGAAAGAAAAAAATATATATATATATAGCTAGACCAGAAAATTTTGATATACTTCATGGTTCTTTGCTCACCGTTGCTGACGTGACGATCAACTGAAACCCCAGACTCCGATTTTTCAGCGGCACACCTGAAGGTGCTGGAGGGCCACCATAGATCGCTGACGTGACGACATGAATCCCACCTAGTAGTGGATAAACTGAGGGCTCCGCCGTATAAAGGGCTCCTAGAAAACAGCCCTTTCGACGGCAGCAATGGCATTGAAAACCGCGAGCTGGAGAAGCTGTAACCCCCGCCAAGTTTTAGAGATGGAGAGTAATTGAGGGTTGGGCAGGACATGATAGACGAAGTTCCGAGGATTCGTTCTGAGAATTTCAGAAAATGTAAAAAAGGATCAGTCTTTGGGCTTTTGGTGGAGCAGATGGATGAGATGGCGCTACTGAACTGAGAATAGGGTTTAAGGATTTATTGCTTATTCCAAACAGAATTAGTTTTTACTGCAGTGGACTCTCTCCTTCTGGAATGATAGTATATATTTTTTTATTTAAAATTTAGTTATAATAATTTTTTTATATTTTTAAAGAGATGAACATATAAGAAAAAAATTTAAAAAAATATATAGGTAAAAATAAATGTTATTTTCCAAAATCATAATTTAAAAATAAAATTAAAAAATAATAGTATAAAGGGTCACGGCAATTACAAACAAAACAAAACAAACTAAAATAAAATAATTTGGCAAAATTGCCAGAGATAAATTAGCAGAGCAAAATTCCCTGCTTCCCCACACAAACGCACACAATGAAATGTATAAATGAAAGGGAGAGAAATAGACAGAGACTTGATTAGGGATACCTGACTGTGACTTCTGAAAACAGCTTGGATTGTAGCGTCGAATAGCAGCATTTTCAGGTCTCATTTATAGTCTCAATATCACCAAGAATGGTGTGCTGAAAACCAGCGTGCCGCTATCGGTTTCAGGATGATACCGTTGAAGAAATCCACCAACAGGCAGCCCTAGTTCCGATGTAATAGTAAATCTTTGAAGTTCGAACTTTAGTGTAGTGGAATTTTAAAATGCCATAGAGGGCATGAATGAGGTTAATTTCGTTCTTTATTTTCATTCTATGATGTAAAGGATGGAAAAAAAACTTAAGAACAACGACCCACAAAAGAGGGTTTCAGGAGATGGTGAAAACTACATTCATTCTCATATTAATCACCCCATATCAGGGATCATGATAAATATACATGAAAAAGTTACAGCTGCTTCATGAAATAAAAACAAAAACAAGCTTCACAAGCAATCAAAGCCTCAGGTTTCCCGGAGTGACTCATTTTGCAAGTCTTCTCTCTCACTACAAGCGTCAAATAGGATAGGAAAGGGGAGTTTACGTGTGTCGGCAGAACATCAAGATCAAGACAGCATGCGGTGGCACGTTGGAGAAGAAGAGATTTGGCTAAGTGTGCAGAGCCATGAATAAGTTCTGCTTACGAGCATGATCTGGGATAAGTTTGTTGATAGTGTCACGAGGAAGGCCTGTAAGTTCTGCCAGCAAAAGGAAAAAACCGGTAGAATCATTAACAGGTTCATAGGAAGCATCTCATAAGAGAGAATTATTAATATTTTCGTTATTATCAGGAGCCTGCTTCTGAAGCACGAATTAAAAAGCTCAGTGGGCCATTCCTATGGCACATGATATGAGTAATGCCATAATACAATTAGGGAAGATAGGGATAACTGAGACATAAAGGCAAACCCATATGTTTCTCCATTTTGATTTTTCTACTATTGTAATATTGTAATTAACCTTTAACATTCAAATTTTCTTTTGGTTGTTGGTGACAGAGTTGATGTCTCACATTTCCTTATACTAATCAAGTTAAACTTTGCTTTGTTTATGAAGTTATGCTAATATTAAGTTAAACTTTTCTTTGTTTATGGAGTTATGCTAATATTAATTTACTTATGCTGCCAGAGGGAGAAAATAATTAGTCTGCAAAGAAATTGCACAGCACTTAAGACAGTAGATATGATGAAGGATGATGAGTGGAGTCAAACTAACCTTGGGGTTTAAAATTGAACAGTGGAGGGAGTGGGCGTCCATTAGGAAGGCGTGTATTTGGGTCCCTCAATTCATCAAAGAAAGGGTGAATGCAAGCCTCCAACTGCAGTAGTCCACCACAGACAAGCAGAGACATGAAGAGAGAGGGAGAAAAAGAAATAAGATTATTGAATGATGGTTCTAAATGTTAGTGCTCAAGGTAAAACATGTGGATATGATAACTTACAGCTGTGCATCGAAGATTGGGAGAGTATTGAAAGAACCTACAGACGAGGTCTACTGCCTCTGGAGGTAATTGTTTCTGGAAGACCTGTTGATGAGAAAGTATTAACAGGAAATCAGTCCTGAAAATTAAAGTTTTGGCATGCAGAGATAACAAGTCCATGAACCACGTATTAACTTCCCATTTGAAATATAGACAGGATTTACCATTCTCAGGTCTGCCAGTAGATGACAACAAATCTAGTTAACAAACATACATACCTTGTGCCATGGATGCGGCTTTATCTGAGGGAATTTAAACTCCGTGTAGTTTGGATTCATACACTTTATCTCTTCTCTTGTTGGCGTCCCCAAAACCTAAGCAACAAATTTGAATGCAAGAACAGTTACTTGACAACTACCATGGAAACTTGAAGTATCACAATAGATCAAATTTGAAAGATAGCTAAAACAGGCATCAAAAGCAAGAAGAAAAGCAAGAACATTCCTGATAAAACTCAAGAGTATATAGAAGTATCACCTTAATGATCTCAACCAGTTGGTCAACTCCGCTTTCACCAGGGAATAGAGGCTGTATGGGCAATTGGTAAGTCCAAGACAAGTATTAAAGCTGATAATTTAATTAAACCAATGAATGTCAAACTACCTGTCCAAGAAGCAACTCGGCCATCACACAACCAGTAGACCATATATCTATAGCAGTTGTGTATTCAGTGGCACCAAATATGAGCTCTGGAGCACGATAATATCTGGAGCAGATATAAGAAACATTGGGTTCTCCCTTCACCTGATAAAATGGAAGCAATTATGCTTAGAAAAACAAACAAGAGCCAATCAGGAGAACAACTAAGCAGATATTGGCATGAAATTTTACCAGCACTTTTGCACTACCAAAATCGCAAATTTTTAGCTGATGTGTATGCGGATTTACCTGGACATTAATAATAGCATTTGAATATAAAAAAAGAGATTATGACAAGGAGATAAAAAGGAAGAGAAGTCTATTAACAAGACATTTTGTTATAAAAGAAACTGAAATTCCAAAATAAGTTAATAACTTTTGCCAGATCACTAAAACATTGATGAAGAAGCTTTCATTTGGCAACTTACTAGCAAGTTCTGAGGCTTGATGTCACGATGACATATGCCAATGCAGTTATGTATGTAGGCAAGTGCCCTGCAAATCTGCACCCACACAAGATAAAAGCACACATTTAGTAAAAAATACAAAAATGTTTCAAATACTGGAAATTTTTAGTATTATTAAAATTTTAAAATAATTAGTTTTGCTCGCTTCCTATGGGGCTTGATGCCAGACTCATAATAAAAAGAATTTAATTAAATATTTGTACTTATATATTCATCCAAAGAGGCAATATATAATCAGATACAGACCTGATAGGTATAAAGTTTAACATATATTAAGGGCATTCTTTGGTGGAGTCTGCTGTAGTTCTTTGCAATACGATTAACAGTCTCGGGGACATACTCAAGCACAAGATTTAGGTACAGCTCTTCCTTGTCAGTAGTTGAAAAGAAATGATGCTTAAGACCAACAACGTTTGGATGGTCCAACATTTGCATAATCTGCAACTCTCTATTCTTGTAGCGCTTGTCTTGGAGGACCTTTTTAATAGCAACAATTTCTCCAGTTTCCCTACATTTTGCCTGCAACAAGCATTTAAATTATTTCCGTATTTTACCAAATAGACCCAAGGGGAGATTAGATTATATGAAGATGAATGTTTACAGAACTACTTACTTGGTAGACGACACCAAATGAACCAGTTCCAACCACATGTTCAGTTATATAACTGACTGACTGCCAACCGCACCCAAAAAAAACAACAAATAAAGTTAGCGCCTTAAAGCTGTGAAAAAAGCAACAATTGATTTGTATCACCATAGACAAATTGTAAACCAATGAATTTTTTTCTCCCAACCTGCATTGACTGACCATTTCGACCCCCAATGGCAGTTCTTATCACATGTCCAGATTCAGCACCCACTCCATCAACTATATCCGGTTCACTGTCCTACAGTTACAGAAAAGACTACTCTAAGCTTGTTGAATACTATCCAAGCTTGCAATTGCAAAGGCCAGCTGATCATTTTTTTTTTTTTAATTTAGATTTTAAATAAGTGCCCTTACAAACCAATTCCGAAAAGAAGAAATAGTATTGCTTAAAAGGGTACTTGAAGCCAGAGTTATGAGTTTATATAACAAAATTTCAAAACACTTCAAAAGCAGAAGCTTACTCTGTCTTCATCGCGATCAACCCTGTCCCTCAATCTCATTTCGAGCATTTCTCTCCCCAACCAATCAACTGAACTAGATGAACTCTTGAAGCCATTACCAGACCTTGAACTACCTACTCCCCCATTTCCTAGACTGGCAGACGCCATAATTCCGCCAGGTTACCACAATATATATACTAGTATTTCCTCTCCACCAAATCCCTTGTTCTGCAGCTGCCTATCCAATCCAAGATTCTATCTTCCTAACAGATACACAAAACTCCAGAGTTAGAAACGGTAATCGTCCAAACAAACAATGAATATTTCAATTTTACTAATTAAAAAACTAAAGGCTCTTAGAGCAATTCTTCGAGTTCAGTGAAGCAACAGCTAAAAGTGTCAAAATATAAGCTGAGAAAAATAAATAAATAAATAAAAGAAAAATTAAAGCACAATAAATTCAACAATTTTCTTAACACTTTGAACTCTGATTAGATCTAAACCTAAATTTACCAACAAAAAACAATTTCTTCAAAAAAAAAAAAACAGTAATTTGCACCACAACAAGCTTAAAAAAGATAATAATAATAAAAAGGAGCAAAATTATTGATAATCGAGACGTAATTACTTCCATCGCGAAAGAGAAAGACGAAAACAGATCGGAGAAGCGATCTTTGGCTACTTAGACGCTCACCTGAAAGCGTTTCGCCGGAAATCGGAAGCAGCTTGCGCGCATTTTAAATTTCAGATTTTGATTGCAAAAATAATTCCAAGAAATTTCGGAGAAAAAAAATTTCAGTAAAATGAAGTCGCAAACTGTTTCTGATCTGATGAATGCTATTTAGCTTTGTGAATTTCTAATTTTTTTTTTCTTTTTTTCCTTTTGACAATCCGTTTTCTTTTCGATTGGAAGGAAAGAAAGTGAGAGAAAGAGAGAGAAAATGCGAATTTGTACTGACAATTACCTGACAATTATTCAAAAGGCTCTGTTACTGTATAGTGTATACACTGTCGACAGTGTATACAGTAGATTATTAATTGTAGTCTTCGTTAGTACTCCTTTGGTTTTTTTATTTTATTTTTTTTTATTGTCTTAATCATTCAACTTAATAATTTTATATAGTGTAAATGAGTGATGATGGCCAACCGAGCCTCTGGCCCAACCCAATAGATTGGTACCAAGTTTTAGGGTTTGGGTGAGGCGGAGGTAAGGGTTTCGAGTTCTGCTACCGCCGTTAACTTCACTAACTTGCGACCTAATGGTTGTGCGCCTTAAATGAGGGGTGGAAGGTTCACTTTCTTAAAAAAATTCCAGCTACTAACAAATTAACTCTACTAACTTCCTAATCATCTACCTGGTCAAAAAAAAAAAAAATGAGTGATGATAAAATTTTTTTATTTAATTAAAAATATTCAATAAAAATTAGTAAATTAATACAATGGAGTATTATAAAATTATTTTTTTTATTTTTTGTTGAACAATTTTGACATTATTTACAAGTATATATCTGAGATGAGGAAAATAAATTACATGGGATTCGAACACGCTACCCACGAAAATGAATAGTTTTAACTCAGAATCCAATGTTACTTGATCGTGCCATTTAAATTATTTTTTATTTTAAAATAATTATTTTTTTTATTTTT